TTGCCAAAAATCTCCAACCACAAAAATCAAGAATCAACAAAAATATAAATAAAAAATCTATCAATTGTACGTAGGTAAAGAGGTGTGCTTTCTTGTGATGTAGTTGGTAAAGAGGTGCATTTTCCCATGATAAATTTTGAAATATAACGAGCCCTAGTAATAGGCTCAATTTAATGTGATCCAATTAAAAATAACAATGGATTAGATTCACCAATCGATAAAGATGATAATCAATAGATTTTTTTTTTTAGAATGCAAAATGCATGATCTATTCGCATATCTAAAGTTCTTTCGCATGCAAATGTTTAGTCTCTTCTATGAAATGATATAGTTTTGGAAACGTCATACATTAAATGACATACATATTCATCAACTTAAGCAAAAATAAGATGATTAGATGTTGTGCTACTCTGGATAGTAGAGATGTTACTTCAAGAGTGATCGACTTATACCACTTTAAGCCAAGCATATTTTCCAAGACTCGAAAGGAATACTTATGAGTCTAGATGACATGTCATTCAAGACATTTCGGATATATTACACCTAAGAATGGGATTCACCATCCTTTTAAGAGCTGGCTAATACCTCGAGCAAAGCACCATTACCCCTTTAATCCTAGGAGTTTTTCTTGGACACTCTCCATCAACTATTATGATTAAAAAAAAAAAAAGACATGCTTTTAATGAAGACACTCTTTCAAAACTATTTTTGTCCAATCAACCCCAACCACGACAATATTAGCCCCGTCATAAACAAGTCATATTGGTAGCATAAGTTTCCCAAGTTGGCATGAGAGATTGTCAATAGCTAGGAAATAGACTATTTTATTCCCTTCATTATGCAACTTGACGTAAACCTCGTTTATATAAAAATTTATTAATCACCAAGGGTTTCAAGTTCCTAACTCTACTCTCCACTACATAATATTGTTCATTATCTCCCTCACATATACAATGATACATTGAAAGTCTAATCGAGCTACTCCTCTATCTAATCACCAACTTTGTCATCAAAGGATCTCTCAATCCACTAGAGAAACTTTTTTTTATAAGTAGCTCAAGCGAAGGGATCATTAAATACGATCGACCTCCATCATCAATCATCAACCATAAAAACTATATAACCCTTAATCACTATTTGAGTTTTTAGTACTCATCACTAATCATGCAAAGTAGCTCCATCTACTCCAAGTCTAGCTTATCTTTCATGTTCATAACCCAAGCCTTGAAAGAAAGACTTCTTTAAAATCTCAAAGGACAACAATCAAATCACCAAAAATCTCTTATAACAAAACCCAAGAACCAATAAAAATATAAATAAAAATCTATCAACTATCTATAGGTAAAAATGTGCACTTTCTTATGATATAGTTGGTAAAGAGGTGCATTTTCCCATGATAAATTTTGAAATATAATAGGCCCTAACAATAGGCTCAATTTGACGTGATCTAATTAAAAATAATAATAGATCGGATGCACCAATCGATGAAGATGATAATCAATTTTTTTTTAGAATGCAAAATGCATGATCTATTCGCATCTCTAAAGTTCTCTCATATGCAAATGTTTAGTCTCCTTTATGAAATGATATAGTTTGGAAACGCCACACACTAAGTGACACACACCTTCATCAACTTAAGCAAAAATAAGATGATTAGTTGTTATGCTACTTTGGATAGTGGAGATGTTACTTCAAAAGTCCGATCGACTTATACCACTTTAAGCCAAGCATATTTTCCAAGACTCAAAGGTAATACTTATGAGTCTAGATGACATGTCTTCAAGATATTTCGGACATATTACATCCAAGAATGGGATCCACCATCCCTTTAAGAACCGAGTAATACCTCAACAAAGCATCATTACCCCTTCAATCCTAAGAGTTCATCCCGGACACTCTCTATCAACTATCATGATAAAAAAAAAGACATGTTTTTAATGAAGATACTATTTTGAAACTATTTTTTTCCAATCAACACCAACTATGACAATGTTAGCCTCATCATAAACAAGTCATATTTATAACATAGGTCTCCCAAGTTAGCATGAAAGATTGTCAATAGTTAGGAAATAGACCATCTATTCTCACATTCATGCAACTTGACGAAACCTCTTCTATATAAAAATCCTAATCACCAAAGGTTTTAAGTTCCTAACTCGCTCTCCACTACATAATATCATTCATTATCTACCGTACACATACAATAATATATTGAAAGCCTAATCGGAGTTACTCCTTTCTCCAATCACTAACTTTTTCATCGGAGGTTCTCTCGATCCACTAGAGAAACGTTTTTTTACAAGTAGCTCAACTAGAAAGGATCATCAACCATTGTAACCCTTAATCACTATTTGAGTTTTTAAGACTCATCACTAATCATGCGAAATGGCTCCATCTACTTCAACTCTAGCTTATCTTTCATGTTCATAACCCAAGCCTTGAAAGAGGAATAGTTCATATCTAACACTATATAAAAAACGATGATAAAGCCATGTTCCTTTTGCCCGATCGTAATATTTCAAAGTCGAAGTGTATCTTACGTGTATGCATGAAAAAAAACTCTTGTTACTCGAACTCGCTTTGCAAGATTGGACCTCGTTGTTAATGCTTATTTGCAAGTTCTTCACATAAAATTTTTTAGTTTACAAGGGATTGACAAGGGCCATAAAAACTTCCATCGATTCTCCCTTTAGGATCGGATTAAAAGCTAATAGTTATAAAGTTACTCGTTGCATAATATGATAGCCAAGGGATGGCCACTCTTTAACTCCTTGGTGAAATACCATGCTAACTTAACCGATGAAAGTCGAGATCAATTACTTGGATTTGTTTAGCTTCAAAAAGAGAGAAACGTCGAGAAGCTCGACATTCTAGCATCTCCGATCAATTTGAATTAATTTGTTTACTATAGCATCATTTCCTAAATTTGTCACAAAAGAGAAAAGAAAAGAGACCACACCTTGAAGCCTTTCTAGTCCGGAACCTACAAATCTCCAAATATGAACACTTGAACCATTCCCAATCGAGTCATCTAGAACCGATCAAGCAAAGATCTTTCCACTAAAATACCTCTCGTATATGAAATTCGGTTTAGAGCACTTTGAAGTTTGAAGCATTAAGAAAATCGATCCGAGGGTAATATTGTAGAAAATAAGAATGAATTGTAAGTCTAACACATACTTGTTTGTATTACGGGGAACTCTTTAAATAGAGTTACGGAGATAGAGTAACGATTACAATAAATAACTAAAAGCTAGAGTTATTGCTACGGGGACTAACTCTATTTGCGAGAGATTGATTCTTGTCTAACTTCTATTTAGATATATACACATTAAAGCTTATCCTTATCATCCTCTCTCAAGTCGATCAATTGGAAGAATGGTCGGCTTGGCAACTCGATGAATGAATTTTCATTTGGGCTGGAACTTTATCGGTACATCCGCGAGTTGGTCGGCGGTAGAAATGTATCGAATGAGTAACTCACTTTTGCTTACTTTATCTCGAACAAAGTAAAAATCAATCTCTAGGTGTTTTGAGTGAGCATGGAACACCGGATTAACGATTAAATATGTAGCTAAAAGGTTATCACACCGGAGGATGGGTGATGTTTGAAGAGGAAAACCAATCTCACATAAGAGAGATTGTAGCCAAGTAGTTTCTAATGTTGTAGTTGCTAGAGCCCGATACTCAACATTAGTGGAGGATCGAGCAACCATTTTTTACTTACGCGAAGTCCAAAAATTAGGTTACTACCAAGAAAGATAGTAAAACCGGTGGTGTTCTTTCCATTGACTAAGTCTCCACCCCAATCGGCATCCGTGTATGCTAAAATATGAAGAGAGGTTGATGGAGGAATGAAAAGTCCATGGGTTGGGGTGCCCTTGAGGTAGCAAAGAATTCTTTTAACCGAGCTTCGGTGCTTAGGCTGTAGGGGCATGTATAAAGCCGAGTAACACGATTGATAGCAAATGATACATCCGATCTTATTAAGGTCAAATACTAAAGTCCACCAACAATACTTCGAAAAGTGTTGGATTATCAAACATAGAGGTATTTGGAGTGGCTTGATCGGTACTACTAAGTGTGGCCACGGTGGTAGCCTCGTACATGAGGGCCTGTTTCAAGAGATCGGAGATGTATTTTGTTTGACATAAATGAAGTCCTCATTTGCTTCTAGTCAACTCGATACCAAGAAAGCAATGAACATAACCAAGAGCCTTTACAAGGAATTGGGTTTGAAAGCCATAGATTAGCCTTAATGAGGTTTGAATTATTACTAGTTAGGAGTAAATCGTCAACATAAATCAAACAATAAGCTTTATCCGTACCATGGTTGTATATCATAAGAGAGGTATCCGTTTTGGAACCCACCCAACTAACGAGCATGTTGGTGACGCTAGTGAACCACATCCGAGGAGCTTATTTGAGACCATATAGAGACTTGTTTGAGGGCACAAACATGGTGTGAAAGTTACGAATGCACAAAGCCTAGTGGTTGTTCCATGTATACTGGTGTATCTAAATGCCCTCGAAGGAAGGCATCTAATATGTCCAGTTGTTCCACATGCCAATTATGAGTCATTACCAAGGAGAGAATAAGTTGAATTATGCTAGGCTTTACTACGGGACTAAAAGGTGTCAACATAATCAAGTCCCGGTCGCTGGTGGTACCCCTTAGCCATCAATAACGGTCTATAGCACCATTGGGTAGTCGTTTGATATGGTAAACCCATTTACAACCAATCATATTTGAAGCTTGAGGATGGGGAACAAGATCTCGGGTTCCATTGGTGAGAAGAGCATTTATTTCCTCATTCATTGCTTGCCTTCATACCGAGTTCGTGCTTGCCCTTGTATAAGAGGTTGGTTTAGTGGGTGAAAGTGAGTTAAAGAATGTCTTGGGCTTAGTGTTCCTTGTTTTGGTTCGGGTTAGCATTGGGTGAGAGGGAGGTAGGGGTTGACGCTGCTGGGTTTTGGTCGGAGCAAAATGGGTATAGTTAATGTCAAGTGAGAAGAGGCGATCCGTGGGTGGGGTTGTGGTGGTGGCATCGACGGCTTGGTGGGAGGCGGATTCAAAAGGTAAACGAGAGGTATGTTGGAGGCGGGGGTTGATGAGAATATATTTGAAGAGTGATTTGTGGTATAAAATGTCTATGGGGGTCTATGCTACTAGCATGTAGTGGGCTAGGAGTGGGAGTGGGTCCGACACGGGTTTGGTCCGGTGGAACGGGTGTGGGTCTGTTTGGGTCGGGCGGGTCGTAGGTCGGTTTTGGGTGGTGGATCCATCTCGATGGGAATTTGTGTTAGAGGCTGTCATGTTTGATGAGCTGGATCTTTGAGTTGGATATGGGTGTGGCGTGGTAAGCTAGATGGGATGGGTTGTAGGTCGTTTAGGAGGAAGGCGAGTGATATGGGGTGCGGCTAGAGTCGATAGAGGACATGTATTTCGATGAGGGGATGGAGAGAATGGTTGTTGAATTTGGTAAGGGTAGTGGTGTTGGACTCTTGACGGGGAAGGAGGCACCACCATCGACATCTTTGAATAAAAAAGCATGTTCATAAAAAATAACATGGCATGAGATAAAGATTTTATTGGAAGCAATATCTAAGCATTTATACCCTTTATGCAAAAGATCGTAGCCTAGGAAAACACAACGGTGTGAACGAGGCTCCAATTTGTTTTTAGCATAGGGTCGAAGCCATGGATAGCAAAGACAACCAAACACACATAAATAATCATAATCGGGAGGTTCTTGAAAAAAATTTCATTTGGAAATTTATTATTAAGTAACGTGGTAGGAAGACGATTAATACGAGTAGACGGTAGTAGAAAATGCATGGTCCCAAAAGTGTAAGGGGATAGATGCGTGATGAAGTAATGCTCCGTCGGTTTCGGTGATGGGTCTATGTTTTCTTTCAACACATCCATTTTGTTGTGGTGCATGAAGGCATGAGGTACATTGTGTAATGCCATTTTGAGCTAAGTAAGATTGTAGGCTTTGAAATTCACCCCCAATCGGCTTGAAAGGTTTTGATTGGTTTATTGAAAAACTTTTCAACAAGATGGCAAAATTTAATAAAGCAACTTAAGACTTCGATTTGAGTTTAAGAAAATATATCCAACTATATTTGCTATAGTGATCATAAAATACAATGTAATATTTATGACTTTACGGAGATGGAATTGGAGATGGCCCCATAAATCGGAATAGATAATTTCTAAAAAAGCTAATGCGACGAAGCATGACTAACTAGTTTACATTTTTATCTAAAATTGAAATACTAGATCGACGCAAGACTTTGGTTATGGTGCTCATGAAAGCATATCCTAATCAAGCATGCCATATAGTAAGACTCGCATGAGTGTGCTTGAATAGGGCGATGTAAGGGAGATAATTCAAGTGGCATGGTGTAAAGTCCGTTATCCGGAGGTCTTCGTGAAGGATTTTCTTCGTGCGAATATCCACGATTAAGAAACAATCGGGAAAAAATTCCAAAGAGACATGGTTAGATCTATTAAAGGAAGAAACGGATAATAAGTTCGACAAGAATTAGGAACATGAAGAATATGACTAAGATTGTAAGAGTGATTTTGTAAAGTAATAGAAGAAGAACCGATATGAGAAATAGGAAGTATTTTACCATTTCTTATTATGACTTCCTCGGGACCCAAGTATTCGGAATGAATGGCTAAGTTATCAAGGTCGGCTAGTTAGGTGATGCGTGGCTCCACTGTCGAGGACCCATTTTGGATTGGTTTGAGTGGAGGCGAGATGAGATGTGGGAGTAGGGAGGAGAGGTGGACGAGTGTCATTAGTGTACTTTGGTAAGGAGCAAGTAGAGCCGAGGTGCCCAATGCCACGATAGTTGTAGCATGTTGGTGTTGTGGAGGCATGTGATCCTGTAGGGCGCCATGGTTATTGTGAGCGATGGGAGAGGGAATGGTTAAAGGATCGGCCATATCCTCTCCAACGACATCTTCCACGAGAGGTGGAATGCTCGCTTGTGAACATAGTTAGCGGGAGGCAAGATTTCGGATAGAGAGAGATCAATCTCTCTTTTCGGTTGCATTTCTTCACTTAGGAGGAGACCAAATAGGTCATCAAACTCGATTGATCGAAGGCGAGCTTCGATATTTCGAGTGAATGTTACGTAAGTAGATCCGAGGCCATTTAAGATGGCGTCAACAAGATCATCTTCCGAAAGGGGATGTTGTAAGCGACGAAGTTGATCGGAGATGTGTTTAGCACGCTGCATGTAGGTGGTGATGTCTTCATTCTTATGGTCTAGTTGATGAAGTTGAGATTTCAATTGACGGATATAAGATCGAGATCCCGATACATAGGTAGAAGCTAATTTTTGTCAAGCTTCACGAGCAGTCTTGACATCAATTATTTGAGAGATTACCCCTTCGAGAGAGAGGTTATTATCCAAAGAAGGACTAGTTGATCTTTGACAAACCAATCGAGATAAGTGGGATTAGGAGCCCTATTAATATGGGTAGGTGGTGGAGATTCGGAGCCATCAACATAAGTCATAACCCTATAGCCTTAAAGGATGGGTGTGATTTAGGTAAGTCATAAGAAGTAGTTTGTAGAGTTTAGTTTGAGGGGTAACTGATGTTGAACATGGGGAAGGGTAGTAATTGGAGTGATGGAAGGAGCAGGTGTATCAATGAGGAGATCCGTGGATTTAGAAGAAGCTAAAGATGTCATGGTTTAGGTGGGATAGAGACGGGTTGATGAGGTCAGGACAAAAAGAAAAAGGAATGGATAAAAGAGGAGAATGTGTTGATGAGGTCAAGACAAAAAGAAAAAGGAATGTATAAAAGAAGAGAATGCGTGATACATAGGCTGTCACGCTTTTGTTGTTTTGTGATGCTGGCAGTAAAGTGAAAAGGGGAAAGGGGTGGTTCTTTGGCTGCAGTAAAGGCTGTTGCAACGCAGCAGTACTGGAAGGAAATCGGTAAGAAAAAAAGAAAGAGGGACGTGTTTCTTTTGGCTATTAGGCCTAGGGTAGCTCTGATAGCATCTAGAAAATAAGAATGAATTGCAAGTCTAACACACACTTGTTTGTATTGCACTTGTTTGTATTGCAGGGAACTCTTTAAATAGAGTTACAGAGATAGAGTTACAATTACAGTAAATGACTAAAAGCTAGTTACTGTTATAGGGACTAATTCTATCTGCAGAGATTTATTCTTATCTAACTTCTATGCAGATATATACACATTAAAGCTTATCCTTATCAAATATCTGGCTTTCAAAATACGACTTTAAAGGGAGTAAGGATTGTGATGTATATGGCAACTTTGTTTGGCGAGGAGAGCATGATTAAAAGACTATAAGTCTCTGAATCCCAAACCACCATCAGCTTTGCCTCTATAAATCTGATCTCATGCTAACCAGCAGATCTTTTTTTCATCTTCATTATGCCCCTACCAGAATTTCCTGGTCAAGGAGTCGATTTCCGTACATATAGAGCTATGAATATCAAAACAACGCATAATGTAGGTCAGAAATAGCTTGAGCAACCAACTTGATAATTAAGAACCTCCTTTGCCAGCTCTGGAGTCAGTCTTCTCCTTCCATCCGCTTAACTTCTTACTCAATTTATCTCTGATAGATTCAAAAATCAGCTTCTTTTTTTTTTTTAATCTACCAATCACAACTAATAACCCCAGATATTTATCATAGTTCTCAACTAGTTTAACTTTCATCCCATTCTAGATCATAATTCTGACATTATCATGCACATTTCGACTAAAAAAGATGTCTGATTTATTTAGAAGCATTCACCTGTTGAGCAAAATCATTTTCATACTCCAAAATCAACTTAGATAGAGCGGCTGCCTCTAAAACATTTGCATTTGCAAATAAAAGACGCCCAAAAAAAGAAGAAGAAGAAATTGAGGGAGCACCGTTGTTGATCTTAGTACCACTAGTTCTGTCGGTATCAAAAGCGCTTCACCAAAGCTGAGAAGCCAGCTTTTGCATAGAGAACGAAAAGATTGGCGAGAGGGGGTCTGGATCGAACTTCTCCCTGAGGAATTGTGGAGCATAACAGAAAAAGACACAGTTGAGGTCTACCCAGTCTTTATTATCGCCCATTTTAATCACAATAGTCTTCAGGAAATTCCATTTTATCCGATCATATGCCTTACTCATATCTAGTTTAACTTCCATAAATCCTAAATTTTCCCTTAAAGTTTCATGTTGTGGAACACCTCAAAAGCAATCAAGACATTACCAGTAATAAGTCTTCTTAGTAAAACTGATAATATTGAAAAGGATAACTTTTAATATGTTAGCAATGATTTTAACAATAACATTACAAAGGGAAATGGGTCGATATTGACTGCATGATTCAGGACTATTAAAGATGTATTAGAATAAGGCAGATATATGTGTGACTAATTGCATAGGATTAAAGCCATTTTTAGAACATATAGTTACACACATCACTCTTATGGTATTCCAAAAGTGCTGATAGCATACCATCTGGACCTACGAGTGATGCATATGTTGTACTGTGGTCTCAATCTCATCTCCAGTGAACTTGCTTGATAGAAAACTTTTTATTTTATATATTTTTTTCTCTCCAGGTATTCTCATCTTACATTGAAAACAGAATTAATTCCGTTCAGAAATAGAACGAAAAGATTTAACCCCTTCTAACAAATTCGTCTTCAGAATTCGAATTTTATATATTGACAAGAAATTTGTCTGCCACCGGTTCGCTTACCGCTTGATCCAACCCAACTTGTTGGTATTGATAGGAAGCCTTTCATAACATCTCGCAGCTCAATGCACTTTATAACTGGATGGGCATTCATGGAGGAAAGGGAAAATAGTTTTTATTTTTATTTATTTATTTATTAAAGCACTGAAACTCCACTGATAGTCTCCTCATTTCTGAATATTGTACCCGCTTCATCCTTGATGTTCCTTCCATATCTTTGAGAGGCCTTGCCTTGAAAGTAAGGTGTGTTTTTATCTCCATCCTTGAGCCAATAAGCTCTAGACCATTGAGCCCACATTATTTCCTCCCCTTTAAGAAATTCATCCATATCCTATTGGAGAATCTTTGCTGCTTGGATCTTGTCGTAAGAGGGGAACAGACTTCAATAGAAACTCAAGTTGTTTTCTCTTATCTCTAAGAGACCGGTTAATGTTGCCAAAACTCTTATTGCTCCAAGCACGAAGATCATCTCCCCAACGACTACTTTTGTCTGCCAAAGGATTCTCACTAGTTACTAGTAAAGGATTTGTCTAGGATCTCTGAACAGTGTTATCGCAACCACATCGCCTCAAGCAGAAAAGGTCTCTGTTTTTCGTGTGAAGTAGGCAGAATTTTATCAATACTCAACAGAAGTGGAAAATGATCTGATCAATACCTTGCTGCGTGAGGCGATTTTAACATGCTGGAAAAGATCTTTCCATTGGGTACTAAGCCCCCGTCCAACCTTGACTGCATATTAGCTTCACCCCCATGACCGTTGGTTCATGTGAATTCGTGACCAACAAACCCCAAGTCGTGGAGACCACATGTAGAGATAGGGAGAGAATTTATCTTTTGATAAGGAAAGAAAAAACCACAATTTCATCTTTACGGAAACTACAGGTACAAAATTGTATCCATGCTGCTCGAACTATTTCTGCATAAATAAAATTATTAAAAAGAGAGAGAAGGATAAAATTTTCAAACTATAGAATGTTGAAGAGACAGGTTTTCCTTGATTTTCTACTCTCTTTTTTTTTTTTTCCTCATTTCAAGAATGAAATTTGTCCATTCCCAATGTGGTGGAAAAATTAAACAGAAAAATGCAAATATTCAATCAATGTGTCTCAAGAGATCATATCCTAGCTTGCTATCTATGACAATTCAAAAGAAAAGGGCAACAGAATATGAAAAGAATTCTCAGCTAATGTAAGATTAAGATTATGCAACTCTAATTCTACGGTGCTATTCAGGATTATGAATAAACACAAGCAGCAGATTCCTTGAGCATTCCTCTATCTGATCTCAACTCAAAGACTGGGAAGTCATGATATGATCTTCTTGATCCTTGGCCACCGTACTTGTTCAATATATCTTCCCTCTGCAGGTCTGAAAAGTTCTCAGGTTTCCTGTAAATCCGATTCCTGATGTGAGGATAGCCTTTGAATAGATGGTTTGATGGATCAAAAACTGGGGACTCCTTTTGTGTCACACAACGAGTGTTGCTTTGGAATAGGTAATTGTCTGATGGTTCGAAAAGGGGTGCTTCTTTTCTTGACGAGCTATTAGCCCTCAAACAATTCTCCATCACCTTGATCTCCTCTTTGAATCTTTGTTTCATTTCTTTTATGCGATTTCGAAGCAATCTTGTTCGATTTGCAGATTTCGATGGTTCCTCAACTACTTGTGATGCATATGATTTGCTCAAATTGTCGGAAAATGAATATGGAATTCTGTTGCAGTTAATGCAGAAGTTTTTGCCCCTCTCCAAGTTGAAGGCTCTTCTCTTTATATTATCTGAGAGACATGAATACGCCTGCAAGCAAGAACTCTTAGGATGCTGAAAGGAACACACACACACACACATAGAGGCATAGTACAATATTGAAATATAATTTTATGTCTGAAACTAAATTTCTATTGTTAAATGAAATAGTTTGATCATTCTTTAGTTTAACAAATGAATGGTGAAGCTGTGATCATATACTTTGTGTACTATTATAGTGTGCCAATTTTGCAATTCCTGCTTTACACTCCGACAACTTCATCTATCTTGTCACATATTCATCTCATCAGATTTATCACCTTTTGTGCATGCGAAATAAATCCTTGAATCCAGAACAAGATTGATGAAAGTTGTCCGAAGAACATCAATGCGAGGTAGGAACAGCAAAGCTGGCTCACTGTATAGTATTGAACTCTAAATATATATATCACGCCTTCATCTTTAACAGCTTAATTTAATTGTTAGAAATAACAGAACTGTTTCATTAAATATTGGGTTCGTTCTTAAATACTGAAGACTGCACCTCTAATTCCAAAGAGATGTAGGCAAGATTTTTTTTTTTTTTTTTTCGTGTGGTGGGGGGGGTTGGCGGTCAGCTAGGGCCCCATTCTGTCACCCTAGACTCTGCCGTGGCTTTATCACACAGGACAACCTATCATCGTACAAAATCATAATTACAAATCATCAAATATTGCACTTCATCCTCATGAGCATTTATTTTACAGGCTTCTTTGATGTGATTACTGGTGCAAGTTCATGAACTCTAACAATAGAATCTCCTAGTAGTTATCTAAATTTTGGTTTGGATTAAACAGCCAAGTTTATTCAGTAGCAGACCCCAACACATGGTCCCAAAATCCAAAGCATATAAACAAAGAAGCAAAACATTAGGGGAAATTGAATCTTGTGTCATATATATATATATATATGATTTTCTCCATCATTACCCCATAAGAATTCTTTAATATTTATCTGATTAATTAAATTAACTAATTTAAGCAATAAATCTGCATTAAAATAGTAGTAATCCATTCAAAGATCCCAAATTCTACCTATAAAAAAATAAAATAAATCTACCTATATCAATACATAAAAAGAGAATAGTACATCTAACCTCCAAGACAAGCTTGAAGGCAATGTCAGCTTTAGGATGGTTGTTCTTATCTGGGTGAAGTTGCAAAGCTGCCACAAGAAATCAACAATCCTCACCACGGATGGAAGAAAAGCACTTCTATATAATATTTCCCAAAAAAAGAAAAAAAAACATCAACAAAACGTACGCACCAAGGTTATGATACCTCTTCTTGATAACTTCTGTGTGTGCATTTTCTTCTGCCTGCGAACACATTCAATTAAATTAAATAAAAAAACACCATGAAAAAAACATATATAAAGAATCAACATCAAGAAAGATTAACACAATATTACGCACTCCAAGAATGCGATACCAATCAATAAAATGCGATACTAAAGGATCACAACTGCTACTATGATGCTGCCTGTGAACACAGGCCACCGATAGGGTTGATAAAGAGCAAATCTCCAACACTAACTGGGATTTCTTGGTTTCTGATTGTAGTCCCATTTTAGAGAGATAGAGAGAGAGATATAAAAAAAAAAATTAAGAATGGAACTGCTATATGATCAAGATTTGAAGGAAAATATATGTATGAAGAGAGTCATGTTGTTACTAAATGGGTATTCTATTAATGTTGGTGTACGTTTTGTTGGTGTTTAAGGAGAGGAAGTGATTGCAAAGGTGGAGCGGTTAAGAAAAAAGAGCAAAGTTTGCGGGAGAGATTTTTGAAAGTGGATCAGTTGGTGGGAAGTGAAGAGATGGGAGAGGTTAACGTTAATGTTGCCACTTGGAATTCGTTTCTTTATCAGAGGATAATATTTTACAAAAAAAAACAAGAGAGCAGTGACTGTGTGTGTGTGTATATAGCCTTTATTAATTTATATTAGTAAATTTAGGGTTGGAGTTATCTTAAATAAATTTGGATTTTGAAGAAGAGAAAATGGTATTATGCAAGAGAATCTAGACAGGCAGGGGAGGAGGGAGACAAAGACAATCACAAAATGTTATATACTCTCTAGGGGTCAAAGAAAAACAAAAGGTTGGGTCAAATAGGACGGTATCGTGCCATGAAATAATATGGGGAATCACGAATTCATTGGTAAGGGCGAAGTTGAAAATATATCCTATTGCTCAATCAAGCTGTGGCATTCTTCGATGTTAAGTACTAGAAAACACAGCACATTAATATTCTATGATTCGCCAATAGGCTTATATGTCACACAAAATCAGTACCTAAAATTATAAAAACTTTGTTATGTTATTCTATTTGTTACTTGTGTTATCGAAACATTAACCGAATTCTTACCGAAAGAATCACATTAAAATAAATATCTAAAATTAAAAAAATCAAGAATATAGAGATAAAATATCCGATTAATCAATAATTAAATTTGTTCCTAATGTTTTTAATTTGGGGTTGAAATGTTATAAAAAAAAAAAAAAACAGGTGAAATAGTATCGAATCAAAAGGAGAAATTACACGTGAAGGCGGAGCGTCCAGTTGTATGACCCACGAATATAATGCCTGGTTGTGACTTGGGCGGATAAAGGCGAGCAAGAGTAGGTGAAAGCAGGCCGATAAGGCCCTACCATGCTTTTTATGCTCAGAAGCTCTCCTCTTTTTTCTTTACGAGACACCAGAAAGAAAATCTCTAAATTGTACCTTCGTTTATACTTTTAAGCAGTTTACATTCTAAAAGAAAAATGCAGCTAATACATCTAGAATCTAGTTAGATTCCTGATTTTATTGCTAACGCCCAGAAGAACACTTTCCAGGCTTGAGCAGGTCTCGAAACATGCAGAGTGATTTTCAAAACAAAAACCAAGGAAAAGAGAAGGAAGAAAAGAAGCTGAGATGACCTTCGTAATCTTAGAATGATGTTACGTCAAAATTGTGAGTCATACAGTTCAGTTGATCAGATGCTTACATAACTCGAGTCTTAGCATGACAAAATTTCAAGCTTTGAAGGAGCAGACAAAATATTGGTAACACGGAGAAACCATAATGTACAGAAGGGGTGCACGCTGATATGATCTATCGAAGAGAAAGATAAGCTACTCTAGATACTATAACACCTTTTCCTTGGGCCTCATTTCAGATCTGGCTCCACTCCATCCTCATCTTCTTGAGGTTGCATTGAAACTCAATTCAACCAGTGAACCAGGAGCTGCTGTGCCTGTACTTCGAGATAGAGTCATTCTAGTGACCATCGACTCCCAAACCTTCATTTGCTGGTTGCTTCTTTTCAGGTAAATTGAGAACACCGCTATCTATCAAGGACTGCAATTCCCCCTTGGCCAGTTTACTGACCTTGGCATCTGATGATTCCAAGAACGCACATATTACCTTAGAACTGCAGAATGTAAGCAAAGACATTAACGTCAGATATCAAAATTATGCCTTGACTAAATGCATTCTACTTGCCAGAGAAACGTAAATGTTAGCCTAACCTGTAACCTTGTGCCCACTGATCACACTTTCCTTTCAAAGCTTTCTTCCATAGAGTGATGGCAAAGGTGGGGCTCTCCAAAACTAATTTCCTAATGGTCCGACTGGAGTGGAAATTTTCAAGGACATGCTCCTTTTCTGATTCGTCAAATTTAGACTCTGCTGCAAGAGAAGCTATAGCTTCATGCAAGGTGTTCAACTTGTCACCCAAAGTTGGTTGGAGAATGGCACCAGAACCCCCAGTTGCAACCTGCATTTATCACCAAGATAAATCATCAAATTAAATGATCCAATGGGTTAAGCCAGGTAATTTATAAAGACACCTTAGTAAGTATGTATGTGCATCCTAGACCCTATAATCTAGCAAAACGACAAGTTTACGCTAATATAGAATTCAGAAGAGACGGTGAAAATAGCATAACTTTCAAAAACTGAACTTCTGGAGGTTAAAAGTACATAATTACTAACACAAAATATCAGATGAATGGACCAACCTCATATAAAACTTCTTTACCAAAATTTGATCTTAGCAACTCTTCTGCATTCTCAATACATATATCAATGAGGTTCTGCAAAGCACAGCAGTATCAAAGTCAGACGTCTTTTCTGATACAGAAACACTGTAGAAAGGAAGAACACAGAATTTTGGAGATCTGTATGTCACAAACCTCAGCAAGGCCACTGCCCACCAACAACTCTTGCCTTCTAATAGATTGATCTTTTTTGCCACCCTCAACGAGTTGAAGAGTATCAGGACTTGTACTTTCATCAGTCTCTGCCATTGTAACTTCTCTCCCACTGTTGTCCTTGTCAATTGATTCCTCATCCTTTAAAGACTTTGTTTCAGAAGTTACTTCCAATTCACCCTGCTAATGGAAAAGAAATATAAGTATATTCCAGCATAGTTGCAACAGAAATCTAAGATGGTTCAGGGTCCAGATAAATGATCAATGAATATCACGTTACCATGGCACTGAGAGAGGAAATAGATGAGCTAAGAGAAGCCATTTCATCAGGACTGAAATACCGCGTACAATTTGGATTAAGCAGCTGCAACAAAGGACGTCTTCCATTCTGCAAAACAGTGAAGAGAACAGCTTAGGACCAAGTTTTGCAAGGGTAAAACCAGACAGTTAAAAATCAGTCAAGATAAAACAAGTCAGATAAAACATCCGGCAAATTTATTTGTTAAATAAATATATTGTATGAACTAGCCACAACCAGTTTCCCAAAAAAAAAAAAAAAAACAGCAGAGGTGCCCAAAGGGTATGATGATATGTTGAATTAACAGCCAGTCCTGTTTGTGGCATTCTAGATTTTAATAAACGCTTGGTGACCATCATATTTTATTTTTAAAGCTACACAGCACCTTTTTACATTATATCTGTTATCAAAATGACTTCCAAGGTGCAAAAAGAGCAGAAACCTTATCCAAAACAAGCTCCTTCAGAATTGCCTGAAGCTCGCGAATGACAGTCTGTAATCAGAAGAGTTTGATAGAAAGTCAATCAGAGGGACATTCAAAGAATAATGAAAATAAGCATTACAACTAGAAACAACCTTTGTTACAAGCTTTGTGTCATCGATAGTTGAAACAATGCAGGCTAGTACCTGAAAAATATCCCATACACAAAGTTAATAGTCAGAGAATAACACAGAAAACTAAAATATGGTGACACAAAAGCAAGGACACAGATGAGCCAGAAGATAATGCAAATGGGCAGAAAGTTTCAAGATACTGAGATATTGTTTAAAGCACATATATAACCTTCAGTCACTAATCTTGACAATTTGAACCACACCCAACTACCACCCAAAAAAGAAAAACAGAAACACAGAACAAAGAGTCCATTAAGAACTACAGAAAACAGTTTCAGTAATATAAGCAGATCTGGAGGAAATTCTATGATGCAGAATCTACCCAAGGAAATACAGGAAACATGAGGGTGAACTCCATTAGTAAATCACGAAATCAAAAACTTATAATCATATGAAACTTTTCAAGTAAGAAGACAATGTTGGGAAGGTGACAGGAAATTCTTTTTTTTCCCTGCCAAAAGACAACAAATAAGTGAAATCCTTACCAAACTTCCATATTGAAAATACGCTGTTTTTCCTACTGTGCCTTTTAGGCCTTTGACAATCTTCTTTCGCTCCTGGATATTTGAAAAAAAAGGGGGATTAAAGGGCAATTGATGCAGAACAACCCTTTTCACATGGGTGAATGAATAAACAACTATTTTTAAAATCTTTGTAGATATTAAAGATCAGAGAAAATGAAATAAACCTTAGCACTCCCATGTTTGACACAGAGTATCCCAATTCGAGATCCATCCCTTGTATGGATCATTCGAACAAGAAGTGGACCTGACAATTGTTGAATTATTTCTGCTCCAGAGGTCTAAAAACAAACTTAATTTAGAGAGACAACAAAGTTGCAAAGAGGAGCTGCTGCTTCAGAAAATAAAATGCTGTGAAAATGTTCTTTTGAATTTTTTTAGGGCATTAAAATGTTATTTCACCTTATCAGCAATGCTGAGGTACTCTATTAGCACCTTGTGTATAATTGTGTGATCAACAATTCCCTTCTCTAGAATTGGTTGGATGACAGAAGCCATATATCGTAAGACTGAACCTTTTTGTAGGTTCAGCTTCAAGATAACATCCAGTAACCTGAAAGATTAACCAAGACAGGAAAAATAGTTGACAGAATCAAGAAAACAGCATGAGCATGGAATATTACAAAGTATTACATCAGAGGACACTCTTGCATGGCAAAGTACTAGAAAAAGCCAATGAGTTACCTGCTTTCTTTCATTGATGCAAGGTCTTTGAACAATTGAAGCTCAGTGGAATATAACTCCATCAGAAGCTCTTGTTTTTGAGCTGCATTTCCCAGCTGGTATGCATGCTCAATAACTGAAAAGGAATTTGAAAAAAAAAAAACAGTAAGCAGTTGCATTTTACCTTCAAGAGGAAACCTTGATCCAATTCATCAAAAACTAGAAAAACAGTAGGATATAAACCATATTTTCTAGGGATATAATATTCCTGAAAAGGATAGCCAAAAATGAAAGGAAACCATATCTAAACAAAAATTCAGGGGAATAACCCATTAACAAGGTAATGTTTTGCATCAAGTATGGGGATGAAACAGGTTTAGATCAGCTATTGGATCTTCAAAACTGAGAAGCCACCAGAAATAAGTTCAATAGAAAATCAGGAGATTTATATTGAGTAACAGACAATTGAGCAGAATTACTATATCTTTAGTTGGAGCATCCAAGGCATCTACAACTCCTTAACAGGAACAAACAAAAACTAAGTGTGTAACATACCAACAGATCCAACTGTGTGTCGAAGAAGAGAAGCAACATGCCCACGGAAGGAGCTGATGAACTCAGCCAGCTGTTTTTTAGAAGCTGCAAACAAGAAAAAGAAGTTTAGATGATGGAGTAAAAGGGTTTACTTACAAGAATGAAAATAACGTATACGAACTAGCTTTTTGATGGTATTCTCTAGTTTCTCTTGACTCTTTCAACCCAAAACGTACCATTATCTAACATTTTTGTCACCAGATGAATTGCATACTTGTTGCTTGCAAAGGTCAGAAAATGTGGCTTTAGCTCGTCAAATATGATATCCCTTTCTGCTTGAGTACAATACTTCAAGCAAGTCTGAAAATGAAATAAAACAGAATAAATAAAGGATACAGCAAACATTCATGAACTAGTAGACTTAGGAAAATCCATATCATGGACCAACAAAAAAGAAGCAGAAATTCACCTGCAGAACACGTGACGACACATGGGAGCTTGCAATTTCTGGAATCTTCCCCTTCATCTTTTGTATAGCTTCAGTAATTATCCTTTAAGATAATTTAGCAGGGGAAAATGGTTAAGAAAGAGAAAGAGAGAAAAATGCCATGGTCATGTAACCATGGAGTTAAGTTAGACCGAAAAAATCGTACTTGGATCTCTCTTCTTTGGCAATATTACGCTGCCTCATCTTTTCCCAAAGACGTGCAAGCTCCTGTAGGAAAATATAAGACATTTGCTCAATCCAATAATCATCATAAACAAAACTTACTGCATCAATTATAGCCAATCACACTTCAAAGTCCCCTATCAATAAAAGGCAAAGCCTTGAACTTCTACTTACCTTTTCTAAAAATGATAATTTGATTCCTAAAAGGACATGCTAGTCCCAAATAACTCCTTAAACCACGACTCAAAATCAATTCAAAATGCTTCTTTTCATAATAAAAATGATAATTTGTTAGTCCCAAATAAATCCTTAAACCACGACTCAAAATCAATTCAAAATGCTTCTTTTCATTATAAAAAACAACAACAAATATTTATCAAATTGAATACAAAAAACAAATTAAAAGAATACGCATACTTGTTCAAGAGTGTAATGTTGCTTCCTTCTCCTCTTCCTAGCATCCGCCAATTCCTATAATAAAACAAACAAAAACACTCAGCACAGAAAAAACAACTATCCATTAATAACACTACAAATATATAAATAAAACCAATAAAAGCTACAAAAACGACTAACCTTCGCATGTATCCTTCGCTCTTTTTTTGATAAAGGGGTCTTTTTCTCTTCACCAGTTTGCGATTTTAATTTCCCAAAATTCAGCTTCTTAAATGGCTTGAAAGGCTTCTTCACTTGCTTGTTTTCAGGTTTAGAGCTAACAAGCTTCGGTTTTTTAGAAGATGAGCCACCTGCATCAGTCTTGGTATCTGGGTTTTTCTTTCGCTTCTCTGATTTGTTGTTGCTCTCTTGCTTCTTCGCCGCCATTGAAGTGCGAGCTTAGAGCTGCTTGTCTCTCTCGCGTTTTTCGGTTGTTCTTTGAGGGGTTTTCTGAGGGTTTTGGCCTCGTTAGAGATGATAATTGATGTCCTTGTCCTTTTGGACCCAAATTCAGCTTAATGGGCTAATCTGGTGATGGGTTTGGCCCATTATCTTTACAAGTTGTTTTAACAATATTATAAAGGGGCTACAAACCTCCGTAAATTTTAAATTATTTGACAATCAGTTGTTCTATTTTTAATTTTGAATTAATCCTTTTTTTTTAGTAATTTTTAATTTTGCATATAGTTAACTTTTAAATTTTTTTGAAACTAAAAATACATCAAAACTCGTATACGTACGTGATTGAAAGTTTGTAATTAATCCATGCAATGTACGTGATTGTGATTGATGGTGAAATTGGAGTGTTTTTGCTGACCAGGCATCATCAAGCAGGTTTTTGATCTTTGCTATTGCATCCGCTACCTGGCTTTAATTTTTATTTTTGTGCTTGTGGTGGCTGGAACAAACTTAAGTCAGATAATATCCTCGTATTTGAAATTTTCTGAACATCAAATGCTTCGATAGATTCACGTTCCTTTTTCTGATCTGGTGCAACAGCCAAGTGCCAAACTTTATAACCACTTGCTAGCTGTTGTGGCACATCCTGTGCAGACATTGTCAGATGGATCTATAAAAGTTTTAGGGCCTTCAGATTCTGAAAGAATAGGGAGCAACAATGCATGTCAGCCATTGCCTTAATGGATTTGAGAATGGAAGAACAGAATCATCCATTACTACTCCTGACCAGTTGCAGAGGTGAAATTTTATCTTCATCAGTTACCTTTATTTGTAAGTTCATGTGTTCCGCTAACAGCATATGTACAAGGAAAAACGGAGAGAGTGAGATAATTGAATCGTGTTTTTTGCTTCTGTCTTGGCTGTGTATTTAATTATCACTTCAAATGATCTGCTTTTTCCCACCATGTTATATATACTTAAAAGATGTTACCTTGATGAAAATTGCAGCAAAAGGAGGTGGTTTAAGATCATTTTTCTTATTTCTTTTTTTTTCTTGTTAATCAACTAGGCATAGGACAGCTTTGATTTAGAATCATGCAATCACTGAACTCTCCTTTTTACATCTCTCTCCTTCTACAAGATACGTCCGTCATCTTCCTTTCATAAATCAATGATTAAAGCCATAGTGCGAGCATTTCATCCAGTTTTTAGACACAAGTGGAAAGAACTATATCATGTTAAGATTTCAAGTAACGGGTTTAGTGAATATAAAAAAAAGGTTACAGGTTTAGTTGCTTAGAGAGCATTGAGAAACAAAACAAAATTTCTCACTTTCTGTTCATATTGCATTTTTGTGTGTTCTTTTTTGCTTGCTTGGGCAGAAATACTTTGGACGAGCAAACCAATTTGCACCATGCTGTTAGGGAGGAAACTTAGGATTAAAACAATGCAAGAAGCTTTTTTATTTTCCTGGCAACCATACACCACATATATTCAGAATTCCAAATCTTTATCTGAATTCTCATAGCAGTTATGCCCTCCATCTTGAAGCAGAAGGTCCTCATATTTTGGTATTGAACTGAATCATAGTAAAAATTCATTTCTTCCATGGCATCTTTATCAATCCATAGTTCGTTTTGTTTAACTGGCGGTGAGATGTTCTTTTCTTCGATGACAAAATACTTGAACGAATCACATGATTCATGATCAGTACCAATTCATGTCCACATTACAGGACAAGGAATTGCATTAAATGCATCTCATTCTGTGAAAAAAGGCAAGGAATTTAAGAAAATACACTTAGCAATACTCAGAATATTAAAGTCTCTTTTGTGGTTTGTTGCAATCACTACCAAAAATTTTCTTACACATGAATGAAGATATGAAGCTGTACAAATAATCTGCAGAATCGAACAAGAGGAAATGCAAAACCAAAGGAATGAAGGAACAGAACAAATACTCTAGACATGTGTCTTATTGAAAAGAATCTGACCTACTTTAGAGACCGTAAACTGTAGAAGAATCCCTTTTTACCCCATATGACTGTACTTTTGAAGGAACGGTTTTCATAAGGCTGCGGATTTACCATAAGAATTCATGTCGGAATAGCAAACTGCGGAAGAATTTGAATATGAGTTCTCGAGTTCAGGACAAGGTTCAGGGGAAACAGACTCTGAAAAGCCAACAACATTTGAACATGTCCAAGAAGTTAAGGTGGCAGGAATCGTCAAGGAGACATTAAAAAGACAAAGAGAGGTGAAAGGAGATTCTGCAAGTCCCGTGAAGTTGCCTGCCATAGTGATGTTTGAACCAATCACATTTTGCAAAGTGATTTGATCAAGATCTGGGAGGGCATTAGGATCAAACTTGTCATCCGGATGTGACCCACAATCACCAATTGCACCAAATGCCATGTTGATATTTTCCAATTCAACATTTGATATGATGATTTGTTTAATATAACCACCTCTGCCCTTAGTTGTTCTTAACTCAATGCCACTAAATGAGTTATATATGTGGACCTGCTCCACATGCACATTAGAAATGCCACCAGACATCTCACTACCAAAGGCAATGGACGAGCCAGACGATGATTGAAGGTAGAGCCTTCTTATGTGCACATCCTTTGTAGGCCTATCATAGGCGATGCCATATTCATCCCAACCACTCTTGAGGGCAATTGCATCATAACCAACCTCGATGAGGCTGTCCTCTATGCACACATTATTGGAAGAATCTGAAAACATTATAAAAACCGAGTCAGCTAAATTCTTGTCTGGCTATGATTACCAATAGAAATTATGGCAGTTAAACAATATCCAGCCTCTTCGCCATTATATTAATAAATCATTATTAGCTGGAGCAGATTGTGCAACATAAAGTAGTGAATGGAAAAAGGAAGAGGAAGTGTAGGATATGTTTTTGCACTTAAGGCAATTAGTGGAAAACATTTTAACTACACAAACACAACAAGTTCCACAAACCTGGAACTATGCCAATGGTGTAAGGGGATTCTCCAGGAGCAGAGACTGAAATATTTTGAACAAGCACATTACTGCATCAGAGACAATTCCACACAAAACTAAGTTACTCCATCTGTTCATAAGTTGTTTATTCAATTAGCCATCACCTAGGTCTTAGAAAAATTACCTGCAGTATACTGGATGAATGTTATATGCAGGAGCATTCAAGAAGGTAAGATTTGAAACAACTACATAATCAGATGATGTAAATTCCACAAGATGAGGGCGGCTGTAGTTCAAGGAATGGGACTCGAACCAATCCCACCAAACTGAACCCTGACCATCAATGGTTCCATTATCACCTAGACCAGCAAAAAAAAAAATGTCACGTAAGCAACAATTGACACCAAGCAATCTACTATTGAAAGAGAAACAAACAAATGAAAACGCAAAGTGCTTTTACCAGTTACTACCACATCATTTAGCATATCTCCATTTATTAAACTTTGATATCTTTTTCCAGGAAGTTCGATCCCACGACCATATGAGGGTAAGGGATTAACAAGATCCCAATGGGATGGATCCTAACAAGCAAGGAAAGCATGAGTAAGAAATCCCAAGGACTGAACATAACAAAACCAAACAAATTTCGGTGAGAAGATTTTTCCACATCAATCTCTTCTTTAGACACTGGACTGACAAAACAAAAGACGGAAGAAAAGTAGGAGCAAGCAAGCAGTGAAAAGGTACCTGAGATCCAAGAATGACAGCACCTTTTTCCAGGAAGAGTGTGAGATGGCTGGTAAGACTGAAACTTCCAGTAAGCCATTTTCCGGGTGGGACATAAAGCTGGGCACCGCCCTTGTCAGTAAATGACTTGAGATAGAAAATGGCATTCTGAAAAGCAAGAGTATTCAATGTTTTCCCGTCTCCAACAGCACCAAACTCCAAGATGGACACACTGTGTGGTCTTGGTTTTAAACTTGGCTTATAATCACACACTCCACCACTCTCTTCTGCATCAATTCTAACGGCAATGCTCAGTGCCAGTAGCAAGAGTAATGCCACCTGAAAATGCAAAAAAAAAAATTCTCAAAACGGATTCCTTGAATAAAGATTCATTTTGCGCAACAGTCAATTAAACAAGAGAGAAATAAAAATTCAAAGCAATGATAAATTCCATATAAAATTCATTGAGATAATAACAAACAAACTCTAACCTCCTCCTCTATTGGATTCTTAGAATCTAGTGAGTTGTACAATGCTCACAAAACCATCAACAGAATAAGAACACAGAAAAGCAAAAACCAAGCTGTCCATTTTATCACAAAAAGATGCCACATGGAGATAAAGAGTATTCCTCGTCGTGGAAAAATTTCGCAAACTAACAATTGGCTTTACACCCCAAAAAATAATGGGAAATCATATTATGATGAATAATAGCAGGCAATTATTGGATTTTAGTTGACAAGTATATGCAATCATAATTGATCAAAACGGAAAGCAATTTGAAAAAAATAAAATAAAAATAATTATACACTATTTGCTAGCAAAAGAAATTAGCCTTCTTATAATGTGGGAAGTTGAAGAGTGGTTTGTTGATTCCAAAAGAGAGGAAAGTAATGCAATAAACAAATCAATCAATCAAAAAAGAGAAAAAAAAGTCAGGAATCCAATGAAAGAATAACTGTTCAAAAGAACAGCAACACAGAAAGACCAACAATTCAAGACACAACTTTTGCAACCACAAATTCACAAACTGAAAGAAGAGAAACGGGAAAAACAAAAAAAAAAAAAGAAGAAGAAGAAGAAGAAAGAAGTAAAGTAAAAATGGAACTTTACTGTCATCATATTTAGAAAAGAGAGAAGTCTAGCATGGAAATAAATCAAGATATTGCAAAAATGAACTGAATTCACAGTCATAACCATTGCTGTTATAGACTAGTATATTATACAGCAAAACATGAGAACCCCACAAAGGCAATCAAAGATATACTTCAAAAAACCATAAATATATCACCAAAACCAATCAAAAGTGCAAACTTTCCAGATTTGCAAGAAGAGAAAAAGAAAAAACACAGATATATAAAAGAAACGTACTTACTGGCATCTTCATGGAGAACTCACAACTTCTTCTTCTTCTTCTTTTGCTGCTGCTGCTGCTGCTTCTTCTTCCACAGTTTTAACCACAAAGAGAGACAAGAAAACAAAGTCTGGCTAGGTAATGCCCCAATACCAACAAACTGTAGAACAAAAAAGAAAATAAAGAAAGAGAACGGAGTGGGAGAAGGAGAAGAAGCACCAGTGAAACAGGTGTAGCTTTGTGTAAGCTTGTGTATTATAAGCATTAATTATATATATAATTGAGAAGGAGAACATTTTCTTTCTTTATTTATTTAATTATTTATTGCTTCCTACTACATTTCACAAAATTATAGTGGCTGAGTAAAAGTAAATTATAAATTAGTCCCTCTATGTTTGAAAAATGAATTAATTACATTTTGTTTCAAAAATTAATTATTTTATTTTTATTTTATAAAATTTTATCTTTTCTTATCAATCTTTCTATATTATTATCTATTTAAAAAAATCAAAATAAATTTAAAAAGAAAAAAGGATTAAGTTAGAAAAAAAATTAAGAACATAAGAAATACAAATAGTTTTTAAAACAATAGGGACAAATTAATTTATTTTTGGAAAACAAAGAGACTAATTTATATTTTAGTCAGTCTGGAAAAAGACAGCTTAATTTTCATGCAAAAAAGAAAAAGGAAATACAATAATTAATATTAATCCCCAGTAATAGCGTAATTACCCTCTATGTGAATATGATTAATAACGTCTCTCGCCGACAAATTTGTTTGAAACGGCCTTTCTTCATTAACTCTGACACAGAGAGAGAGAGAGAGAGAGAGAGGAGAGAGAATGTGTGACTATGTACTAAATTTTAGCAGCTGTGTTTGCTGTAATACTGACTATGTTTTTTTTTTTTCCTTGAAGATAAAATAATAAATAAATAAAAATAAAAAATAGTTGGTTTGATAATTTACCCAAGAGTTGCATACAATTTCAGTGAACCAATTAGTCCATTCGCAAATTTTCTTTCTGTTATTGTGGTGGAAGTTAGATTGCATCTCAGAGTCTCCTGGGTGGGATTTGGTTAGTTGATGGATAGAAAATTCATCCCAATGCCCATATATTATATACTATTAAATTATCTCTACTACTGAGCTTTTGATAAACTATGAAAAACTTTTTTAATAAATATTTCAAAAAAAAAATTGATCACCTTTCTGTATTGTAAAATAATTTTTCTGGTCAAAAATTTAAGTTATATATTTTTAAAAAATATTTATTTTATAAAAAACATTAATATAATGATCTATATAAAAAGTCAAAATAATATTATTTTTTATATAAAAATTCAAAAATAATATATTTTTTTAAAATAAAGAGAGTATATAGTTTAAATACAAAGGCTGTATCTAAGATCCGATCGAAAAAAAAAACTTAATTTGAAAAGACGAAAACTGATGGGAGAAAATGCTAAAATGATTGTTAATATTAGGGAAGGTGGTATGGGAAGTGAGTGAAACTATGGGTGAAAAGGGAATAAAATAAGCGAGGAGAGGAGGAGGTGCATGGGGTATTGAGACAGCATGTGGGTTGACAGGGCAGATAGAGGAAGGACTGGGGCCCACCTCAATCATCGCAAATATGCTAGCCTGGCCTCAATCACTTGACAGAACATAACAGACACACCCACACCCACACCCACACACTCGCGCTCGCGCTCACGCTCGACGGATGAAGATTTTCTTTTTTTCTAAATTACTTCAAAAACTATTTTTTTTATATATAATTTAAGTTTTTAGTCGTTTAATATATTTTTTCAAGTTTAAAAAATAAATAGAAGAAAGATATGGAAGGATTAAGGAGAGAAGATGACAGTTTTTTAAACTAAAAAAAATATTAAATTAAATATTTAAGAGAAAATAATATTATATGTTATAAAATCATCATAAATACATCAGTCAATCAATCTAGTTATTTAATATTTTTTTCTTATCATGCACTAAGAGTATTATGCCTTAATTGAGATTTTTTTTTTCCTGACAATTTTAAGAAGACACTTCTCATGTAGGCTCAGAGTTTTCAAAAAAAAAATTTATATGCTAATTTTAGAGTGTGAATTAAAAAAAAAAACATATTTTGTTAACCACTAGGTCAATCTCTTAGAATTAATGAGTTTTAAATTTGATTTGGAGGAAGAAAAAACTTTAATTTCAATAATCCAATTTAAAGTTTTGTGGTTTGATTTGGAGGGAAAAAAAAAAAAAACATATATGGAGTGTTGAAGTTTACAGTGGAAGTATTTAGTTTTTGTGGGTTGGGGGTCGGCTGAGAAAACAAATGGAATTCCTGATTGAGCTGGACCAATCAAGATTGCTGGTGTCGAATAGGTGAACTGCTCCTGCAAAGCTACCATAAATCGCCAAAATGCCCATTGGCTGCTTTGATGCATTCTGCATAACTTGCAAAGGAAATTAATTACAGCTCACCATCACATGTGCTAATGTATGAGCATCGAATTAGCTTCTCTAACCAAGCAAAATTCAAGTTTTAGGCACTCTAAATTTATTTATTTAGTGATTATGTAATGTAATAGAGAAGAAGTATCTTCATTGTGTAATTTCAGAAAACTCATGTGTTTCCCATGATAATGATGATTATTAAAAAAAAAAAAACACATGGTATTATTAGAAAGCACTAATATAGAGGGAAAAAAAACACACACACATACGGACACATATGTATGTATATATATGTATTTGCCAATTCTTTTGAAAAATATGTTTTAATATTCCTAAAAATGAAAAAATGTAAAAGAACTATCCCCAAGAAAATAAAACTATATGCAGTGGGGATTAAATTAAAATTAGTACTTTTATTATTTAAAATAAATTAAATAATCCTTTTTATTTTAAAAACTAATTATTTGATCTTTTAACTATTATTAACCATATTTAATTTAATCTCATTTTTTTTCAAAAAAAATGTCATTTTTTTCCTTTTTATGTTTTTTAAAACAAAATATCTAAACAAATTTAAAAAATGATTAAATTACAAGAAAATTTTAAAATATATGGACTAAATAATTAGTTTTTAAAACAAAGAGGAGTAATTAATTTTTTTCTCAAAATTAGAGACTAATTTATAATTTACTATGTAATGGGTCCTGTAAATTGTTTTCTTCTCCTCTACTAGAATCACTCTGTAATTAATTTATGATTTTGATTAGAATCTAAGCCGTAAGCAAAATTTGCAACATATATATGGCTAGCGATATTAATTAATTAGGATAAGCATGCCATCAGTAAATACAAAAGAAAAAACTTATACTTGCATGTTTTCTTGAAAAGAAACACACATAATTAACTATGATTGGATTTAAAATCATGAGCACTGGCATTGGTTAATTGTCTTGCCTAGCAAAATGGAGCTCAAGAAAATAATAATAATAATTATTAAGTTGAATCTCATTGGCTATCACATAAATCATGACTGCGCTCGCGGGTGAAATATTTTTCATAAAAAAAACTTACGGTTACATAATTCAAATCTTCTCTCAATTTTAAATCATTTAAAAATCAATTTATTAATTTCTAATTTTGAGTTAAACTTTTTTCATTTGAAATTGAGTAATATTTTTTATTTGAAATTGAGTAATATTTCTGTCAGATTTTTATCAATTTTAATGATATAAATACAAAGGCTACACATGGTTGATTCTTTAACTTTGTCCACGGCAAAAAAAGTTCTAAACCGATAGATGTTTTGCTTTTTTCTTTAATTTTTTTTTCATTCTAAAATAGTTTTTAATTGTTTATTTCTTAACATTAAAAAAAAGAGTTTTGGAAACACAAAAGGCTAAGTATATGTAAGTTTTAACATGTTTTTAGCTGATGAATTAGAATTGTATTACCACGTTAGAATTGATAAAAATTTAACAAAAAAATATAATTTTAAATGAAAAATAATTAAAGAAAAATTCAATTTGGAAATTAAAAGTTAATGAACTGATTTCCAAATAAGTTAAAGGTTAGACAAGAGATTTAAGTCAACTAAAACGATTTGATTGAGGTTTCTATCGAAGAATCAAGGAAGACAGAAAAATAAGAAATGACATTTTCTGAATCATAAGCCTAAATCACCTCTGAGTTTATAAAAAGAAAAAAAAGCTCACTTTAGACTTTCTTTGGATGCTTCGCTTTTTGCGCTTTGCCCCCACTGTGCAGCCTTGAGTTAGACAACTTTAGAAACTTGAAAACTGCCATACTTTATGAATGGTTGTCTTAATTAAAATATCAGCTCAACTCATAAATTATAATTTCCAGCATGACTAAAAACCCATGAAAATTTTGAACATCACCAAGAAAGTATTAATAAGAATGTGAACACTAAAGCAATTGTGTAGTATTCTTAAATAATTTCTTTCGATTAAGGGTCTTGGGCTCTTGCACATTTGAACACAGCAGGAAAGTCATGAATTCAAGAGAACAAACCACAGAAGTCAAGATCCCAAAAGCAAAAGCCACGGGAACTAAACATTTTTTTGTCTGACAATGATTTACGTACATTTTCTTTTGGAAAGCTTTGTCTATGTCAAAAATTGAGAGCCAAATGACAATTACTCAAGCTTCAAACTATTTGGCAGGCTGTGTAAAGAAAAAAACTGGTTGAGATGGGGAAGTTTTGGGTTTGGAAGTGCATATCATTTAGGATTCCCTGTAGCCATTGGAGTGGAACTTCATGAAGTCACCAATATTGAAGGGTAACAGTAACATTTTAAGCAAAATGAAACCATGCAGGCATGTGATCATTAAAGCCACCATCCATGGCATACAGTGATATGACACCTAACGCTAGCTAGAGAGTACAATTAATTTGACTGCTTTCACCATATATTATTGCCTTGGATATTTGCCGTATAACAACTGCATATGCCTTTTAGCCACATTAGCCATTCAACCAGCACACTCGATTGATTGTAGTGCTTTAAGGGTCAGAATTAGATCTCCTAGCCTAGCAAGTAGCAAGGGTTGTTCTGAATCC